CCCCAAAACCCCAAAACCCCAAAACCCCTAAACCCAAATATTATCTTGAAAGTATCTGACCGGGGAATTCTTTAGAATTTACCTTTTTGGATATCCTTATGCATCCTACTGAAATCTTGGCTGAACATTGACATCCGTTTGTCAGCAGGTTTGTTTAGGTAAGAGATTTCTTTCTGGAGGGAATTTGTGTAGTGCTTTGACATCTTTCGGGGACTCCTGTCCTGGCTCATGTCTTTGAGAGGGGAAATTGACTTGGAGATTAGTTTTTGACGCATGTGGAAGTTTTTCTCCTGAAGTACGTCTATTTTATGAGTTAGGTCCACTTGGTTTTGCCTGAGTTCCTCGTTTTGGTTCTTAAGTTGAGCATTTTCGGATTTTAGTTCATTAGAGTTGCTCAGCTTTTTGCTAAGTGATTTTATAGTGTCATCCTTAAATTTTTATAAGGGATTTGACGTGCTCCATGAAGAATTCAGACCTTACTGAGATTATCTTCCTGAGACACACTAAGCAATATTAAAGCAGCTATACCTTCTATGTAATCGATCTGACTTATCCTCTCTGTTTCTCCTCTCTGGATATTATCTATGATCAATTAGAGAAGAAGTGTACCTAGATCTGATTGGATCTTTTTGATAACTATATCCATTTTCTCAAGAGGATTCTTTTCAAGATCATTATCTATAAGTTCTTCTAGTGATTTTTCACCTATAATATCATTATAATCCAAAAATCTGGTTTCCTTTTAAAATTTGCGAGTAAAAATGATATCGGTCCTTTTTTCCAATACATCCAGCGTCAAAGCAGATATGTATTTAGAAAAATGTGTATTCAAAATATGATAATTAATTCTTTTAGCCTCAAAATCTTTAAATTCTAATTAAAACTTCGAGATTTACCAATATCGTCAAATCCTTGAATGTCAGACAGATCTTTGTCATCAACTAGATAAATTACAATTGCATGCCTTACAAGTCTGGGTTCTGCCCAGCACTTCAAATGCATTAGGCTTAACCAAAGGTTGTGCTTTTGAAATAAGGTTTTGGTTTCGAGTCCCATTTCCTTCCTTTTGAACGCCAGACCTTCCTTCTTGATCCTTACTAGTAACATTCTGCAAAATTGAAGTGCTCATGTATGAAATTTTTGGTTTGGATAGCCCCTTGCCTTCTCTATCTGAACGAGATACATTCTGGCTAATACTCAAAGGCTTTACTGGCTGGGTTGAGTCTTGAGATTTAGGATTGATCAACAAATTATCAAATCTCTTATCATTCATTCTAGATTTATTTAAACCTTCTCTTGGTTCTTCCAGGGACTATATTTTAGGTGAATCTTACCGTTGAAGTTCTTCTTCACTTTACTCCCTTGATCGATTGATTTTCGAATATTTTTCAAAACTTTGCCTTTATTATTCCTAAATAAATCAACCGACAGAGACTTACTTTAGTTCGAAACTATTTCTGCTTCTGTAGAGATCGATCAATAGGCTTGATTGCATAGAATCGGTCAAGAGCTTCATTCGAGTTTTTCTCTTCTCTAAATTTTATTATCTTGGAAACTTGTACTGAGTGTCGAATTCTGTCAGGTTTAGATTCACAAATTCATCTTTACTCTTAACACTACAAATTTTAACACATGAAATACTGAGCATCATTATGAAACAACACCATTCTTCGATTCTTGTTTATCAGGGGTAACTGAGTGGCAGAGAGAACGTTCTCAGAGGTCTCTAAACATACGTATGTGATTCCGTAGTGTAGGAGGAAATTAAGCTTACTCTCATTAACTTTTGGTTTATTCCTCTTGGAAAAATTAACCCTTCTAAAAACATCAGTGAGATAAATACATCCGGTTTCTTGTTGCATACTGAGGACTAGTCAGTGGGGATTGGAACTGCTTCAACTGAGACCTGACTCTTGAGTTCTTGTACTTCATAATATTTGGCATTTTCATACCTTTCTAGACCCTTGTGAGCTACCTGACTTACCTTTCTTTTAGAAGTTTTCAAATTATTTAATTTTATTTCTAAAATTTGTTTCTTAGAAAAGGGATAGGTAAGTCAATACCTTTAATCTTCTTCACAGTCTTCTTGGCAGATTTCTTCGGCGATTTATTTTGTAACTTTTAGAAACCTGAAGATGAGAAACACCATACTTGGAATCCATATGAGAGTTATCAGAGCTCAGAGAAACTCTGAACTCTTCACTAGAGCTTATATCTGATAAAATGTTGTTTTTATTCAATGATCCGTTGATTTTTGATGTAGAAAGTGCTATATATTTCAATCTAAGATTGATTATTCAGCAGTATTCTGTGAAAATTTAGCATTCTTCAGTAAGAGCAAGGCTTAAATACAGTGCTTACAATTATCTTGTGAGGCCACTTTTTTGTTAATCATTTATATCAATTTATATAAATTATATTGGGGTTTTGGGGTTTTGGGGTTTTGGGGTTTTGGGG